TATAAGTATTTTGTGACTAAGATGGTTTTGTTGTTTTAAACGCACAAGTTAGACAACTTGTGTTTTCAAAACAACAAAACTAGAGTTTAACTTCGTGTGAAAAACTTCCTGCATCTAGCCAAAGCCAAAATATTTATAAGCATCAGATGCTTCGTAATTATCTACCTCAAAAGAAAATATTATAGGACTTTTTATTAAATAATTATAAACGTCATGGTATTGAGCTCATGGTCATTCAGTTTGATAATCTTTCCAAGTATTTGCAAGGAACTTGTATAGACATCGGTTGATTCCAAGGATTGCAAGTTTATTAATATACCTTTCTGCGGCGTTAAAATCTAATTTTTCAAAATATTTGTAAACAGAATTTTCTTTTTTTAAACTTTTAAGATCACTTTTTCGTACAAATTCTCCTGCTTTATTAACTCAACTAATCATTTGTTTTCCCCCATTTAAGATGGTAACAAATTGCGCTATTGTTAATTTGTATAACTTCGTGACTTTCCGTCTGCGAGGTTACTAAAACAAGCTCAGTTTATATTAAATACTAGCTGAAAATATAAAACACCATTAACTTTAATAATAGGGTTTTAAAGCAACATAATCTTTAGTATCTTCTTGTTTTGGGATAAAACGATCCATTTCAGTATTTTCAGAAGACTGACTATGTGGCTGAACTGGACTCTTATTATTTAAAACTTTCAATTCTTCAGTCAACTGGTTTTTATATTTGCGAATATTTGGCAAATGTCTAGCCTTAATTTTTTAAAACTTTAGTTTATAAGCAAAGTCCAGCGATGAAAATTACGAGCGAAGAACGTCTATCAGATGGCATATCAGAATTTTGTAAAACTTGAACGATTTGAAGCAACTGATGCAATTGTTGTAAACTTTCTACAAATTTGATTGGTTATAAATAACATTTCTTATCTTTTTTGTAAAGTTTTTTGCTGAAGTTTTGTAGCAACTGATGCAATTGTTATTTTATTAAATAGTAATTGGTTTAAACTGTTTTTTAACCAATCATTGATGATTTAGAGTACAATTGCATCAGTTGCTACAAAGTGATCGGAAAAATTTGTGAAAAAGTACAAATATGATTGGTTAAAACGTACTTTTTTTTTTTTTAAAACCAATCACATTTGTATTTAGTGAAGAACAATTGCATCAGTTGCTCCAAAAAGGAGTTTTGCCTAAGTATCGAATAAGTAACTATAGAAATCAAATAGAATTGAGTTTAATTGAATTTTTTTCGAGTTTAAAACAAGTTTTTCATTTTTTGTGAATACCAGATTCCAATTTCTCCTTTTACTTTTTATTAAGAAAAAAAAGCGAAAAAGAGATTTATACGAATTTATAGTATATCGGGTGTGCTGATTTCAGAAATGACATTAGTTTTCCACGATTGGCTCTAGTTTTTGAGATACAGGGTGTTCCAGATATATTCTTATACAAATATCTTCGTTTATGCATATTTTACAGTAAAATAGTTTTATTTTTTTTTAAAGGGCATACCTTATATATATTATATATATATATATATATATATATATATATATATATATATATATATATATATATATATATATATATATATATATATAATATATATTATATATATATATATATATACTTTTTCCTGTTTTTAGAACACAATGAGTTCTTCACGAAGAGGATGTTTGAATAACCCCAATGCATTCTGCCACATCTGTGGTGAATATTGCCAGGAGAGCCAAAGAAGAAATATCACTAACTTTGTGAAGCAAGCATATCTGGCATACTTTGGAATGAAACTCGGAGACCAAGATAAGTCTTGGGCTCCCCATATTGTATGTAAAACGTGGTGTCGAAAATCTACGTCAGTGGAAAAATGGACAAAGAAAAGGTTTAAAATTTGGTGTGCCTATGGTATGGCGGGAGCAAAAGAATCACGACAGTGACTGTTATTTTTGTTTGGTTAATGTGAAAGGTATCGATCGTTTCAAGAAACGTAAATTTGAGTATCCGGATTTGGAATCAGCAAGGCGACCTGTACCACACTCAGACGATGTCCCCATTCCAGTGTTCACTACACTCCCAGATCTAACAGTGTCTGATGAAGAAGATATGCAGAATTTTGGTGTGCGAACATGCAGATAATGGTAGTGAATATGAAGACAGTACTTCTAAACAGCAACAGTTCTCCCAGGAAGAGATCAATGATTTAGTACGAGACTTAAGTCTATCCAAGCAAGATTCTGAGCTTTTAGCATCTAGACTAAGTGAAAAGAACAGTTTGAAGGCCGAATGTAAAATAACTTTTTTTCGGACAAGAGAGGCAGCACTTCTTCCATATTTCATTCAAGAAGAAAAAATAGTATACTGTAGGAACATCCCTGGACTCCTCTTCCAAATGGGGTTATCTGAATACCGACCAGAAGATTGGCGATTGTTTATAGATAGTTCGATGAGAAGTTTGAAGTGTATTTTATTGCACAATAGCAATAGTTATGCATCCATCCCAATACTTCACTCAACAAAACTGAAAGAGGAATATGAAAATATAAGAATGATGTTGCAGAAGCTTAGATACAATGAGCACCAGTGGTCTATATGTGATGATTTAAAGATGGTAAACTTCTTACTAGGGCAGCAAAGTGGATATACTAAGTACCCTTGCTTCATATGTTTGTGGGATAGTAGGGCTAAAGAAGACCACTGGAAAAAGGTGGTATGGCCTGCTAGGGAAAATATGACTGTAGGTGCATCAAATATCATTAACGAACCACTGGTAGACAGGGGAAAAATTATTTTCCCACCACTCCACATCAAACTAGGACTGATGAAGCAATTTGTAAGAGCCCTAGACAAAGATGGTCAATGTTTCAAATATATTTGCAGATTTTTTCCAGGCTTGAGTATGGAGAAAATCAAAGTTGGAATCTTTAGCGGCCCTCAAATTCGCCAAATCATCAAGGATGAGCAGTTCCTATATACAATGACAGATATTGAAGCATCTGCCTGGAAAAGTTTTGTCTTGGTTGTTCATAACTTTTTGGGCAACCATAAATCTCCCAACTATGAAGAAATCGTACAGAAAATGCTTTCAGACTTCAAAACGTTGAAAGCTAATATGAGCATAAAAGTTCACTTTCTACATAGTCACTTAGATCGGTTTCCCGATAATCTAGGAAGTTATAGTGAGGAACAAGGGGAGAGGTTCCATCAAGATATCAAGGTAATGGAAGAAAGATACCAAGGAAGATTGGATACACACATGATGGCTGACTATTGTTGGAGCCTTCAACGTGATTGTCCACATTCTCCACACAAAAGATATTATCATCCCTTTATCATCCCTTGGAATTAGGAAAACTAAAGTCAGCAAAAAAAGCTAAAAAAATAAACGACTAAACTTATTTAAAACACTTTTAACAAGTTTAGTTACAAGATAATGTTATGTGTTGATGTACTTTCAACCAAATTAGTGTTAACATTTTAGCAAAATATCATATCGTCAGGCTTTTTGATTGGAAGAACCAAAAGCTTGATATTTTATTGAATTGTTATTTTAGTTTGTTATATAATAATTTTTATTCAAAAAATGTTAAATAATTTACTTTTAAAATTTATTTGTCATTGCTTTAGATAAGATGTTTTATTATTCCTTTTACAGATTGTTATGAGGATTGCAAAAGTTTTAAATATCAGAAACAGAAGAAGGCATTGATAATCAGCAGATAATAAAAAAAGTAAAAGTACTGATTATAAAATTCATTTAAAGGTTTTATTTTAATTTTTTAATGTTTATATAGAAACTAATAATATATAAACTAAAAATAATAACATATAATTAATCCATAATTGTGCGGTACTCTAATCTAAATTAGTTTTTATTTCAATTTCTTTGGAGTTAATGTTACTAGTTTAATGCAATTACAGTAGAAATGGTTAATTATGGAAAAGTTGCACTAAAAGTTGAATAAATCGCTTGTTAAAGCAAATAATATTATATATATATATATATATATATATATATATATATATATATATATATATATATATATATATATATATATATATATATATATATATATATAATATTATTTGCTTTATATATATATATATATATATATATATATATATATATATATATATATATATATATATATAAATTTAAAAATAATAGTTTTATTTAGTTTGTTCTAATTTTTATGTAAAAAAAAAAAAAAAGAAGCAAGTTTTAATTAGTAAATGATTAAACATTTTTACGGTAAAGTAAAATAGTTCTTATTTTTTAGTTAAAGAAGAATTTTAGGTTAATGCTAATGCAAAAGGTACGAATATTGACAGGTTAGCTGATTTGATTTTAAAAAACATGAAACAAAGTATATGGAGACCTTAGTGCTAGAAGTACTTGCATGCATCATTCATGCATGCGATATTATAATATAGCATACACGCATGAAGCATTCAAATTTAAAAAAAAGTTACAAATGTTTAATTTTACAAAAAGATTATGGATGTGGTACCGCAGGTATATTCAATTGATTATGCAACTAAGTTGTCCTACTTTACATCTTTGAAGACTAAAAATATTTGTAATGAACATTTCTCAAACAATATAAACTCGGATTTACACTTTAGTTAAACCATCACAACTTCCATAGCCACCTTGTCTCAAGCATTCAATTGCATTCTTAGATATCTTTATTCAAATCAAGTTTGACTACTAAACCAAAAGACTGTAGAATGGACTAATTAAGTAAGATGTATGAATTTATATCTTTTATATAGAATTTCTTTACTTTTAGATAAACCTGTTAAATTTATGAATTATGAAAATATTTAACAATGGAATCCTTTTAAGATAGACTTTTTAAAATCAAATTTTTATTGCTTTAGTAAGTTTTTATTTAAAATAACTTTGCATACATAACATATCTATATAGTTATTTACAATGTCTCTAACCCATCAGTACTTGCAAAGTCTCTTTTTCTGTTAGTACAAAAATTGAGTTCTAAAATACGACTATTCACATAACTACTATATCAAAACACAAACTAATGAAATGATCAAGTAATATTTAATATTTAGCTTGAGTTGTTAGTACATATATGATTTTAATAAATAAATTTTAATTAATATCTTTATTGATTCGTTTTTAACTTTAGGAATTTTAAGAATTACAATTTTATTTTTTCATGTTTATATATATTGTAGTGAAACTGACGCTATCTCCACAACTATTCAATAGAATAGAAAGTTTCAATCAAACATAATACTGAGTGTACCTGCTACTCCTTAAGACAATGGATAACAAGAGTTATCAAACTTTATATATATATATATATATATATATATATATATATATATATATATATATATATATATATATATATATATATATATACATATGTATATATACATATACATATATATATACATATATATATATATATATATATATATATATATATATATATAAATACATATATATATATATATATACATATATATATATATATATATATATAATATTATATATATATATATATATATATATATATATATATATATATATATATATATATATATATATATATATATATATATATGTATGTATACATATATTTATATATATATATATATATATATATATATATATATATATATATATATATATATATATATATATATATATATATATATATATATATATGTATGTATACATATATATATATATATATATATATATATATATATATATATATATTATATATATATATATATATATATATATATATATATATATGTATATATATGTATATATATATATATGTACTAATGTACAATCTCCTAAAACCTATAAAACTATGGATCTATAAAATTGTTGAATGAATGATTTATATGAAAAGAATTAAGATGTTTATTGAGTTACTTTTATTATTTTTAGAAAAGAGCTTGTATGACTTCGGTATCCACAATACGGTATCGTGCATTGGTTCCCATATTAGAATGGCTCCATTCCGTATAGGTGAAGATAGGAAAGGTTATGCCCAGTTTTCTAACTCTAAAGACGAAGAGGCTTAATCGGTTCAAGGAAAGATGACAATGATTATTATGGAGCCGACAATGATCACAAATACAATAATGCATATAACAATAAATAAAATGATTTTAGTTGTATTTTCGACTTATATAAATAAAAAATTATTTATTTAACGTTTAATTTGTGTATGAGTATTTAGATATAAGCAGTGTATTTAGATATAATTTGTGTATGAGTATTTAGATATAAGCAGTGTATTTAGATATAATTTGTGTATGAGTATTTAGATTAAGCAGCCGTGGCGCAGTAATAGCGCACTTGCTTCAGAAACGTAAGATCCGTGGTTCAAACCCCACCTCTGGGCAAGTTTTGCGACATCGGTTGGGAAGGAGGCGTGAACTTCCTATTAAATGCTCTTCCGCGGTGCTCTGTGATAAGACCGTAAGGACTTCTTGGAGCACCTTAATCAACTTAACAAAAAAAGATAATGCGTTAAGCGTTAAACTTTTCTTTACGGTGCTTGTTTGAAGCAGCTTAATTAAAAGAAAAGTTTGATTCGTTTATCAGAATTTTATTATTTATGCTAATTTAAATATGCGCCGTTAAATAAAGTTAAACGTTGCGAAATTTACAACGAAAGATTTAGATAGAGTTTAAAGAGCGTTTAAAACGAACCATTTAGATATGGTTTAAATGAAACATTCGATTGACCTACGTTTTAGATTGAAACTAAATTAAATCTAAACATTTAGAATGAACATTAACTAAACACTTGATTACATGTTCGAATGCCCGAAGGGTCAGCTCCTTCAACCAAGTTTTTTATTCACGAAACGCAGTGCGTTCAATGGGTGAGAAACTTGTAGTGCTTTCAACGCGATTTATTGGTAAGAAACTTGGTAATTCGTTCAACGCACTACCTAACGAAGTTGTCAGTGCTAATAGTGTTGACTGCTTCAATGATTCAGTGTGGAATGATCAACTACCATAATAATTACCACAGCGCATCATCTTCCGTGTCATCAAGTACGAACTGGCATGGCTAAATGTTCATGGGCTTACGGAATTCGACCGATTCCGCCTAATTCAACTACAACCAAACCCTATTTTTCGTAAAAAATAGTTTGTAAATAATTATAATAATAGAATTCAAAATGAGCATTTTTATACCGAATACCAAAGTTTCAACTTCAAATACAAAAACTAGTCAGACTTTACATTGTCAGTCATTAAAATGTTTTCTACTTATTGATAAAAGTATTTAATATGATTGTTATAATTTAACGCTTTTATTTTCGATGCGCTTACGGATTGCCTATATTATATACTATACTAGCTGTCCTGACCCGTAAAATACGGGTCTTGGTAAATCTATTCAACACCAACCTTTTCTATATTTATTCGTTACTTCAATATTTTCTAGTAAGTAGCAGAAAAATAACTATATATATATATATAGAAAAACTATACTTTTTGAATACCTTTTAAAGCGCTTGAATCACTATTTATCAACAGATTGGATATTAGTACATGTCTAAAAAATATTCAGAATACCCGCTTAATTTTGTCAAATAATTACCATCGGTGAAAGTTTTAAAAAACACGAGGAAATATGTGAAATAACGGACTTACTTTTTAAACCCCTTTTTAGCGAACATACCTTTTAAACCTCTTTACTCTTTAAAAAAAGTTGACCTCGCCGCTTGGCAAGTTCACTTTCTTTTTTATTTTTAATTTTTGTTATGCAATGCACAATGAAACATCTTTGTTTCTTTCAAAACAAACTTCTTTCTTTAAAAGTATTTTATTTTGTATTTTAGAAAAATTGAAACAGATTAAATTAAAAAAAAACAAAAAACGCCAGAGGTAGGGGAATCGAACCGAGACTCCGCATTATAAACCCGGCGTGCTATCCACTTGACTACGTAGACATGTTATAGAGTTATGGTTTTAAAACTATATAAAAATAAATAAAAGACTTTATAAAACAGAAATAAGTGCTACAGATCGAATCATAAGGAGATTTTGCCGCAACGCGATTTTCATGTGAAAGTAAAACTATAAAACTGATGTATGTTTTTGTATGTTTTAACATCACATAATTTGAAGTTTACGCAAATTATATATTTGTATACACTTTCGTTGACTTTGCTATTAATAAAAAGTGCTGCGGCTCTTTCTCGCTATTACTTCGGTTGCCATTGCTGCCAAGAGTATCGTGTCAAACGAGCTTAAATGAGTACTGCTAAGTTGCTTATTGTTATATATGATAGGGGAAAGCGGGGCAACATGGCGAACGTTTTGAAAGCCCTGAGTTATTGAAAAACTATAAGTCGTGAAGCCATAATACTTTCTCAGTATGTTTATGCTTTTAAGTTCTTTCATTGCCTGCATGAATTTTCAGTTTGCAAATATAACAATTTGAAATAAATATTAAAATAAAAAGTTCATAAATTTGTCATCTGGTCACGTGACCGGGGCAAGATAATTTATTATGCAATTTTTACCTCCAATTTTATAAAACTTATTTGTATAAAATGGCGTTAATAATATTTCAAAAAACCAATTGGTGTTTTAAAATACAAGATGCAAATACAGTTTCGTTTTCGCCCGATTTTTAAATTTTTTGTTGAGTTGTTATATGAAAACCCATCTTGCCCCATTCGCCATGTTGCCCCGCTTTCCCCTATATGATTAAATACTTTATACTATCTCAGGAAATTAGAAGGGTTTCTTTTTAAAAATATTTACTACAAAAATTCAAGTAAAATTAGAATTCTGCCCGTGAATATTTGAAGTCTTAATAACAATTTTGATAAACTTTTTAACTTTTAGACAAAACAAAAAAATCGTTTTAATATAGTTTTTTTAACTGAAACGTGGATTTCGAGCAAATTAAATTTAATATTAATAATTTTTAACATTAATTTTTAATATTAATTAATTTTTAATATTAATTAATTTTTAATATTAATTAAATTTAATATTAATAATTTAAATGTATTTTGACGTTTTTTACTCCTCATTTTAAATAAAATTCGCTTCAAACTTTGATGTTCATAAACAAGTAAATAAAAGCGAAGGAGTCTTCTGAAAGCAATAATGAAATTTTGACTATTAAAATAATAAACATTAGTCAAAATAATGATAAAATAAATAATAAATATCAATCAAAAAATATAGAGTATACGACTCGAGCTAGCTCGAGACGTATGCTCAGCCGTAAAAATGAAACAGCCGTATGCTCGAGTGAAACAGCCGTATGCTTAAGCATAAGCATTTTTTTATAAATAAAAAAAATGCTTCTCGCTCACGCTTTCAGATTATCGAGAGCGCTCTCGCTCACGGTATTTTCAAAAATTAAAAATACGCAATATTGTTTTTTTTCTTTATGAAAATCTTTTTTTTTTCTTGAGGAACCTTGGTGATTTTATTTTCTTTGGGGAGAAACCTTTGGTGGTTAAAAAAAGCTATAGTTTTTTAAACTATTTGATATATCTTAAAACAAGTTAATAATTCATTTAACTATTAGATACAAGTTTATAGTTTTTTTAAACGTTTTGATGCATCGTCGTTTGCATCTTATCATTTTTATTTGGTATCCTTCAATTGCTTATGACGTTTTGAAACAATATCATAAGTTAATTTTCGTTAAAAAAGGAATGTGATTGGTACCTTTAAATAATAATAATTGAATTAACTTTAAAAATGATAATTACGTCGAGTTTGATAGAAATGACGTATTTTAAGATTACGCGGAGTTTGAGAAATGTATTTTAACTTTACGCGGAGTTTGAGAAATGACGTATTTTAACTTTGTTCTCCCTCCAGTCTATTATACCTCCTTGATAAAACCTGGTTTTTGATTTGTAAAACACATTAATCAAGAAAAAAGCTAGTGGTTATTATTTTTATTCAACCCACTTGGGCTTAAGTCTCAAAATATAAAACTTTAAACATTTTTTTGGGTTAAAAATGCTTATAAAAGAATGACAACTGCCAAAAGTAAAAGATTACTACATTTGACCAACAACATCTGTAGAGTAGCCCAAGATAATCTGTACACTTTTGTCAAAGATCATCTGTATTTTTTTTACAACCACATCTGTCCAATATCATCTGGCAATTAAATAACCTCTAGCAACATCTTTAGGAAGATGTAATTACATCGGGTAATTTTCTCTAAGCCCAATAACATCTGGAAGAATTTCCTTGAGAAGTAATTACATCTAAAAAAAATCTTATATTTAATTACATCTGGTTAAAATAATGCATTGTTATTTAATAATTTTTTCCAGATGTAACTACAACTGAAAAAAAATCCATATAAGTAACTACATCTGGTTTAAATAATGCATTATAATTTAACAATTTAATAAAAGCATGTAGTTATATTTAGTCTAATTGAAAAGATGTTGCTACATCTGTAGAATTCACAGATGAAGTTATTTTTAGCATATTTAAAAAGATGTAGCTACATCTGTAAAATTTTCAGATGTAATTAAACAGATGTTGTTATACTTAAATAATTGAAAAGATGTAAGTACATCTGTAATAATCATATACCTTTACACAGATTTTGTTAGACATCAATGAAAATTCTATTTAGTTGAAGTAATGGCATTTATATTGCAAAAATGACAACAAATACTTTTATTATATTACCCAATGTTTAAATTAACAATGAAGATATAAAAACTTCAAGTTGTTGTAAGTGGTTATATAAAAATCAGAGAAAAATATATAAAATATTAAAATTACTTATTGAAAATTATAATTAATTTTTTAGACCTAATTTTGTTTCTAACATCTCCATCTCTCCAATCGCGTCCACAGATGCTGAAGCTTCAAGAGCAAGTATTAGATATCTTGAAAGAATTTGGCTCTGACACTTGACTTAAGTGGTTTTTCAGTAAACTCTAACATTTTATCTTCTTCAATTATTCTCAAAACCGGTAAAATTGTGCGCTATTGAGAAATTGAGGTCATTTTTTAAATAATAAAACACAGGTTTGAAATTAATTTTGGGCTATAGAAACATATTTATTCAATGAGGAATAACCACTTTTACTAAAATTGACTTCATGGTCACCAGCACCTTGCTTTCATTTCAGAAGAATTCAGTTTCCTAACTTTCTTTGAACAAAGACTTTCTTGAGTAAAAGGATAACAATGCAACCAAGTTGATCACAAACGACTCTCGGAACGTCGGTATATCTATGCGCGAGTAAAAAATTTTGTATATGGTGTTCCGATATCGCAACCTTAGCTATTTGTGACCTCTGCTAATCCATATTGCTCTTGCAAATGCAATAATCAACAATGGATATCATTTTCAGTAAAAAATACCAAAAAATTTATTCAACGCTGTTTTTTTTAAACTCATGGTGAATTTTTTTAATCTGATAATATGAATACGCTAATTTAATATTATTATTATTAGTCGAGTTACGTCATTTTCTAGGCTTTTCTATTTTTAAGTAGTTTCTAGGCTTTTCTATACGCGGTTTTTTTTTTATTTTTATTTACTAACAACGCGTATTACGGGTTGCTTACTGCTAGTATAAATAAAAGCTTCAACTATTAAATTTAAATGACCAATATCAAAGATTTCCCCCTCTGTTAAGTATGTTTTGCCTAACACTTAAGAAAATATTTAAAGATTTACTACACTAGGCATTTAATTTAAACTTGATACATAATTCCTCTTTATTATATATATATATATATATATATATATATATATATATATATATATATATATATATATATATATATATATATATATATATATATATATATATATATATGTATATATATATATATATATATATATATATATATATATATATATATATATATATATATATATATATATATATATATATATAAGTTCTCTTGATTTTAATAATGAATAAAAATTCTGTGAGAGATTATGAGAGGCTTAAGCTGTAGTATCAAATATTTTTCAAATGTTATAACAGTATAATTTTGATAATATTAATATGAAAATATTATATTTGTTTAAATCAAATTTTGACATTTTGAAGAAAATAAAAAAATAATTTTTATTCTTTCTTTTCTACCTTTTTGTTTTTTTTCTTTTTTTTTTTAGAATTTTTCTTATTAGTGTCCGTAAACTCAATATCAGTAGGTTCGATGTCCGAAGACTCGATAATAATTGGTTCTTCGTAATGTCGTTTTCTTTTTTTGTCTTTAGAAAGCTTTGCATCACATTCTATTATTTTGGGATTATTACCTTTACCGTCATAAAACTTGATATCAGTAATTTCGATGTCCGAAGACTCGATAACAATTGATTCTTCGTAATGTCGTTTTCTTTTTTTATCTTTAGAAAGTTTTGCATCACATTCTATTATTTTTGGATCATTACCTTTACCGTCGTTGTGAGCCTTTTTCTTCGATGATTTTTTTACATCACATTTTATTTCAGATATATCGGATCTGTTAAGGTCAAACTTTATATGAACTGAATCGTTTTCTTTTTCGAGAAGTTTGCGTTTGTTTTTTATCATTTCAGTAACGCTATTTGTATTTGATATAACGTTCGAATCTTTTGATTCAACTAATTTCTCGTCATCTGACTTATCGCGACACTTTTTCTTCTTTTTTGTTTTTTTCTTTTTCTCATCTTGTTCATCTTCATCGTGGTTTCTTTGTTTTTTGTTTTTTTTGTGGTTTTCATTGACAGGAAGGTTCTTTAAAAACATATAAACTTAAAATAGGTATTAAAGTAGTTTGACAAAAAAAGTATAAATAAGATTAAATAAGTTGACTAAATTTAATTCGCTTTACTAAATAAAGTTAACTATTTCAACATAAAATAACCCAACCTTTGCAGGTGACATCGCTGGCTCCTCAACGTTTGACATTTTTTGACTTTTTTGCTTTATAGATGCCATTTTCATTGCAAAATAATCATGAATACTGATTCCTGTATGTAGAGTGGTAATACCATGCTCATTATTACTATCAGCTACAGGACAGGACACCACACTGGCAGCATCTGAATCGTCCTTGTAAATAATAATAAACATATACTTATTGAAAAGTTGCATACTTTTAACGACAGTGTTTAAAAAATATAATTTCTACGCATTCAAATGCATGTTTCTATCGTAATATTTTATGAAATATTTGATAATGTACTTTTTTTTATCTCTTGAACGGTTTTTACATAGCATATTTTTAATTTTTGTTTTGTTTTTTGGTGTTAGCCTTTTGGTGTTTTTTTGTATTTTCTGAATTTGCCTACTTATTCACCTGTCTTGCTTTTGCTTTTTTTAACATATGTTGATATAAATAGCCCCATGTTCAAACCCAGCAACCTCATTATAACAATATAATTTTAATAATATAATTATTAATTATGTTATTATTATTTTTTAATTGATAATTTTTTTTAATTCATAAAATTCAAACTAAATTACATGATTAAATTTGCTTTGAATTAGTACTTTGCCTGTTGATAGTAAATAAAAAAGTAACCTCTCATTGCAACTGTAAAACTGAGAAAGATATTTTTTGTTACATATGTAGCGACTCTTTTGCAAAAAAAGCAACATTCATTTAATTAACATATTTTTAAAGCTGTATGCTGTTATTTTGATAAAAAAAAGTAAATACTTCGGCACTATAATACTGTTTTACTAGTTTTTCTTCACAACTGGTTAAATAATAGTTACCCCATAAGATATTCCTATAGTCTGACGTGAGCCAAGAAATCAATGATTTTTTGGTTCAAGTGGTATTTTTGCAACGTTAACCTTTTTCTTACTGTCATTAGAAATTGAAAATCAAACCTAAATGTTAAATTTGCTTCTTGCCTTACACCACACTCAGATTCAGTTCCAGTACCTACGAAATTTGATTACTTGCTTAAGGAAATACACACAGACGCTAAAGACACAGATGATAACCTAAGCATTTTACATAAAAAAAAATTTCTTCCGCCACCATAAGATTTATATTCACTACTTGAATTAAGTGATTTAATTATTTTTTATTATAATATTAAATATTATAAATTAATATTAAGTATTATAAATTAAAAATTAAGTGATCTGAGAGTTAAAGCTGACTAAAGATCATAGTTAGAACTATGATCTTTAGTCAACTAAAAGTCATAGTTCACTATGATCTTTATGAAGCACTAAGTTTTGTTGGACTGAAGAATGATGCTAACCCTGCTCTAGTTTCATGGAACAAAATTACATCGCCACCTTTACATATAAAACTAGGCCTCATTAAACAGATTGTAAAAGCACTTGACACAGCTTGTATTTAATCCAAGTAGTAGAAGTGTCATTATCAAAGGATTATTTATGTTAATTTTAGATGCATCATGAAGAATAAAAAAGACTTCAACTTTGCAAACAAAAACTAAATTCAAGTTTGGCACCTTGAAATTAACATGTACAAATGAATTACACTTACACACACACTTTAAAAAAAATTTAAATAAGATTACTATGGTAGTATGTACAAATGAAATTGATATGGTAACAAGTAAAAATAAAATTATGATAAAAAAGAAGCAGTTCAATTTTTTACTTTTTATTTTTTAACTTTTATTTATAAGAAAATCTGTGAATATCATTATACATTATAAATTTAGAAAATAGAATTAATCCTAAATATGTTAAATATTACTGACACAAACCTTATTGTCTTAATTAATATTAACATCCAAATGCAATAATTTAAAACAAAACACCACGTGTTATTGATTAAAACAAAACACCACGTGTTATTGATTTTTAAAGAGTTTAACTTAATTATAAATTAGTTTAAATTTAGGCTGAATAAAATACTTTATGAGTTTTACATGAATTACAATTACACACACACTTTTTTTAAAAATTAAAAAAAAAAAAAATTACTTCACTTATTTGTGGGGTCACAGGAGCAGACTTGCTTCTTGTTCCAAATATTGCAGCAAGATCTTGGCTAGATGCATTTGATAAATCTTTACTTTTCACAAACTTTGTATATCTATTATAACAATAGTTTATAAAATTCTTTTGACAGCTTTGAAAAACAAGTTTCTGCAGATTTAACAGATTTTCTTTTTTTTCAAAGAAGTTGTTTTGAACAACAAGGATTTTTTCTCCCTATTCGATGCAGAAATGAGTAACCAGAAAAAAAAGTAAACTCAATTGGTTTGTATACTAAAGTACAGTAACATAGACATGTATAGTTGTATACACAAGTATACTAGTAAATACAAGCTTATAGAAACTACAATTTCAAAGATCAAATTACAAGCACTTAACACAAAGGTTTAAAAGCTATAGAGATAAAATATCTTTTATTATTCATTTCATTTTCATATTTATGTATTACATTCCTTTATTATACATACAAAACTTTCACTTTTTTAAATCAGTGTTTTAAAACACTGAAATGTTTAAAAATGAATGTGAAAAACTGAAATGGTAAGTTTAGGTATTATGAATATGACATGGAATAATATAACTGTGTGCTTTGATTTAAAGTATATTACTTGATAACATTTTAAAGTGTAAAATGTTATATAGACATGACACATAATTTTAAACACTTGTGTTATGGACATGGCGCGTAACTTAAAATACTTGTGTTACAGACATGGAACATAACTTTAAACACTTGTGTTTAAAGTTAACTTTAAACATTTGTGTTTAAAGTTGTGTCATAAATTTTAACATTTTTAAAAAATTTACTTGTGTAAAAAAGTTTAATTGCAATATGAAAAGTACAGTCAACTCTTGATATCTCGAACACTAAGGAGACTGGAAAGAAGTTTGAGATATCGAGAGTTCAAGAAAAGGGTTGAAAATAAATAAAATCGCAGACTTTCATTAAAACAAGTTTTTTTTCTGACAAAAATCATTTACAACAAAAACTACAACTTTTGGAAAAAATCTGTTATCTGATATTGCTTCAAATTATCCATCTTTTCCATCTTCATTAAACCATTAAACCCTCAAGTTTTAGTGCTAGGGATTGTTCTTCATTAAACCCTCAAGTTTTAGTGCTAGGGATTGTATTTCATTTCTGTATTTTGAGCTGTATAGCAAAGCATCTTGAATCATTTCAAAAGCATTTTCTAATTGAATATCAGATGGGCATAACAGGGCTTTGACGTCAATGCCTTCGTCAACGCTATCTTCAACCTCATTATAATCGTTTTCAAAATTAGGGTCTAAAATCTGAGCAATGATTTCAGTATCAGTAGCAAGTAAAACAGTGGTTACTACATCGTAATCTAAACCAATGTAAGATACCGCTGATAGCTCTTCTTGGCAGCACTAGGATCTAACTCTCGCAAATGGTTAAGTTCTTCTATCAAAAATTTAAAAGGTTGATGATCATCAGCTTCTTCAATACTTGTTTGTTTTGCTGATGTGTTCTTTGGGACTCCATCCTTTTAGGCAACCTCTTTGTTAGACATCCCTGTCTCTAACTCTTTTAATGTTTTGCATTTTTCTATTTTAGATTTGTTCGTGAGTTTTCGTTTAACGAGTGGCATGTTATTGCGTTTGAAAAAAAACAATAAATTATTGAAGGAATACTTTTCAGAAATTCGATTCTTAAAAAACATCGATAATAAAAATTGAATTTAAAAAAAATTTCTTTTCAAAAATTGGAATTTAAAAAAATTAAATGTTATTAAAACATTACTTAAAAAAAAAATTGTTGAAAAGTTCAAGATAACGAGAAAAAATTGCCTATGGATCAAAAATATTGTTTGAGATACCAAAAGGTTCCAGATATTAAAGTTCGAGATATCAAGAGGATTTTAGCCTAAACTAGTACATTATGTCCATGGTAACTGCTAAAAAAGTTTGAGATACTTAAAAGTTCGAGATATAAAGTATTCAAGATATCGAAAGTTGACTGTATAAAATGTTGGCAATATTTGACACTGACCATATTGTAACCAACTTTAATTAATTATATTAGTTGTTTTCATTATTATTTAAACATTGTTTAAATATTAATGAAATCTTAAAACATACGGTTGCATTTAACAATTCAAAAATTAAAATTGATAATTGTACCAAACTTTTTATCATATTAGATATATTCATAGTATATTATTCTTTTTTTCTTTTTTTGCTGTCTAAATAAATTGTTTCCATGTTTTTTTTTGCTTTGGCACCATGGATAAGATGAGGTAGATTTCAAACCTCTCATCACTGAAAGTCATCTGTCTCTACCACTGCACCATGTATGTTTGGAAGTCAACTATTATTATAAATGTATGAAGTTAGTCATCTTTCAGCTAAGTCAAATTTCATTCATTGTACCTGTTCCATCATGGTCTAAAAATTTTTATTCATCACACCTTAATGCTTTGAAATTCTTACTTGTCTTTATATTTTCTTGAATTATACAATTTAAAATTTTTAATACTTCTGGATTTCTTGGTGTTCAAGTTTATTCTTTTTAACTTCCAGCAACTCTCAACTTAAATAGTGGTTGCTTGAAGTCTTGTAGGCAGTGAATTAGTTAAATAGTGGTTGCTTGAAATCTTGTAGGGAGTGAATTAGTTAGGGAGTGAATTAGTTTTTTTTTTTTAAAGATACAGGTATTTAAAAATCTAAGAACTAGGTTTAATATCAAAACCAATTCAAGTATCAAATATACACTACTGTTCAAAAATTTGCGGACAGGCACAAAAAAAGTTGAACTTTACAATCATTTCAGTGCAAACAAAAAGGTAAAATTTAATAAAACATATAACATTTAATATACTAATAAAAAGGTTTTCATATTAACTATTATGTTTTGAACAAATGTTGGTTATTTAATTAATGCATTTTATTTGATTTAAAAAATAATGGTTTTTGATGACATCAAAAATTTGTGGAAAAGCATCTAATTAAAAAAAAAATACAAATTTTTTAACGATACTTGGTTAAAATACTTATATCTAAGTCAAATCACATTATTATTTTTTAGGATACCCTTCACAGCTAAAAATGTCATGACATCTATGAGGTATAGAGAAAACTAAATTAATTTAAAAATCAAAAACATTGAACATCCGGTATTGAAGTAATAAGACATGTTTTTGATTATCAGTACCCAGTGAGTTTTAAATCAATAAAATTAAATTTTACCATAGTTAACCAGAATTCAATTTTGATCCTGTTTATATTGATATCATTTTTTGAACAAAAGTACTTTGTTCATTTTTTTTTTATTTTGTTATATTTGCTTCAAAAGAATCACTATTTTTAAAAAATTTTAAATTTTTAGTTTTGTAAAAATCCACATTGCATCTTACAATCAATAGAATAAATTGCCAGTAAACTGTCAAAATTCAAAAACAACAAAAATTATTAAAAATAATTATGACAAACTTGCAAAAAATTTCTCATGACTTATTGTTTTTATTTTTTATTTTGGAGCTTGATATTAATAATAATAATCTTCTACACCTTGTGTTCCAGACAGCATAACTGTTATAGTCTTGCAGAAGTGTTCTCCTGAGTTGTCATCTATACTTTCAAAACTATTTAACAAGTGCTTACCAGAGTCTTGTTTTTCATCCTGCTGGAAAGCAGCATCTGTTATCCCTATTTACAAAAATTTTTGAGAGTAATCTAACTTATCTAACTACCACCCCACAAGTCTTCTTACTATCATAAGTGAGGGTTTTGAGTCTTTAATTAACAAACACTTTATCTCTAATCGATGATCTAATAACTTATTTACTGATCATCAATACAGATTACAATTAGACAAAAAAATTAGACAAATAAAAATTTTTGCAGTACATAAGAACAGTCTCAGTGAAATAATGGAACTTGATTGAACAACAAGTAACACAAGAATAAATTTTAGTAGATGGCACATGAGATACTAGTGTCTTAAGAACAGTGATGATAAATGGTAGAAGACTCATAAAGTACATTACCATTCATAAATATAGAAAGATCTAGATTATTGCAATAACAATTAGCTGAAAATACTTTTTATCTGAGTTAAAGTTTACCAGCCACTGAAATCCGTATGCTGTAGCAGAAGTAATATCTTTCTCAGGCTCAAATGCGCCCTCCAAGCAATCAGAGATTGTTGGCTTCTTATCAAGACAAGAATAAATGGTAGTATCATCAGCAAACAATGCCACCAAAAATGTAAGAATTTCTGGAAGATTGTTAATGTAAATTAAAAAAAGTATAAGGCCAAGGATAGAACCTTAAGAAACACCTGAAGTGACAGGATATGAAGAAGAGTCCTGTCCATCGAGGACAACTTTTACACAACAATTGGTAAGGAAGGATTCAATAATCTTAAAGATGTTACCTAATACACCGTAAGAAAAGATCAGCATGCCAAACTTTATCAAAGGCTTTAGAAACATCGAGAGTGACAGCCTTAGCTTCTCCACATCTATCTAATGCACAATAAAACCTATCAGTTATTACAACTAACAAACCAGCAGTAAAATGAGAAGATTGAAATCTGATTGATTTTTTTTTCTAATTGAAATCTGTATTGATGATCAGAAAATAAGTTATTAGATTCAAGATTAGAGATTAAGTGTTTGTTGATTAAAGAATCAAAACCCTCGCTTATGATAGTAAGAAGACTTATGGGGTGGTAGTTAGACGAGTCAGATTACTCTAGAAAATTTTTGTAAATAGGGATAACAGATGCTACTTTGTAGCAGGCAGGAAAACAAGACTCTGGTAAGCACTTCTTTAATAGTTTTGAAAGTATAGACAACAGCTCCGGAAAACATTTCTGCAATACTTTAACAGGTATGTTGTCCGGACCACAAGCTGTAAAAGAATCTAAGCAGAAAATTATTTTGGATACAGAAGCTGAAGTATTACGAATATCAGTAATACTTCATATATTACTGATATTCGTAATACTATTCGTAATATGGTATAAGACAAAATCTTTTTACAATGGTTTCTAGCAATAGTAAATAGATGTTTATTTTTCTGAGAATTGTTTTGGTGATAGATATTAAAGTAATCGTTTCAATTGGAAATTGCAGCAGCACAATGAGAGAAAAACCAAGGAGATAAGTGAGTCTTGACTTGAAGTTGTCAAGAGGAAATAAAAGATTCCATGCCAGCCTAATCCAAGAAGTTATGTAGGAAGCACATTAGTCAGCAGGAAGACAAAAGATTTCAACCAAAGAGCTATCACAAAGAAAATCATGGAAAGAGTCCCAGTCAACTTTATGGTAGTTGATAGAGATACGATAATAAGGGGAATCTGATGATGAAGAAGAATGAGATAACAGTTTTAGAGAGATCAAACTGTGATCAGAAACACCTAAGGGTGAATTTAGAGTAACTTAGCACTAGGATCAGAAACATGATTTATGTTTGGATCTGATACAGAAACAAAGCTCAGTACACTATTTAATAGTCCAAGCAATTGCCTATTAATAAACTCTAAGCTATAGCAAAGGGCTACAAATGTGGCCTCGACAATGCACACCAAAAGTATGAACAGGGACACCATCAATGCGCAACATGGCACTGTTAGTATTATAATATTTTACAGCTGTTGATGATTTCAGCCTCTCTGAGAGCTACCACAGAGTTTAGGAAATCTGACTACCAGTCGACCTTAGAACTATCTAAATGAGTTTTAGAGCTGTACCCTCATTAGGAGATAAGAAAATGAGTCGCCTAGCCATATAAACAGAAACACAGGCAAAATCCATGCATTGAGTCAAGAAGATCCAGCATTCAACATCCTAAACTGAAAACAATGTATTATAAATACATCTATGCCAGCCTAATAGATGAAAAAGGAGTGCGAGGCTGGTCAACAGATAGAATCTGTTTACAAAATTTTCTTATAACAAAAAAAAAATAATAATAATTTTATAAGCGATGAACTTTAACAACGATTGTATTTTTAAAACTTAATTTAAGAATAATTAAAGTTAACACACTCAAAAAGAAGTAAGATTATGTTGCAAAGAAAAGACGAAGTTTTTTGAAAGCTGTTTGAATTTAATAACTTTGTTCTTTACTTATGCTTTATATTATTGAAACACATTTAAATAAAGTAACAAACCACTGCTAATGATATTTTATATAAAGTATTAATGAATATCATATATATTTTTTTATATTTATTTAAGCATGTTTTTATTATAAATTTCTTTAAATAAAAAAATTATTTTTTAAAGAAATAATTTAATTATATTTTCTTTTGTTTTGTACTGCAAAGAATTGTTAATAACCTCTTTTCTAACTTTTAAATGTGCGTGTTTATTAAACAATCGTTAGATGTTAGTTGTTACTTTATTTAAAAAGGGTTTCACATAATACTATATTATAAAAACAATAATAAAAATAAACGATTCAAAGTTATTTATTAAAAACGTAATTTAAATAATCTTATCGTTATAGTTTATTATTTATTTTAATTAAATTTAAATTTGTTTTTTTGATTTTAGTTTTAGTTAAGTTATTTCTTATTGTTTTTTTTTTGTTTTTTTTTAGGATAAGCTTTTTTATAATTAAGTTCAGATAATTTTTTCAGTGCATATTTAAAATATATACAAATTTTTAAAACATCTTAACAACCGTGATCAAATTTAAAAAAATATATATATATTTGCTTGGTCACAACTTCCTGTGGTGAAGCCTGCCTAAATGGACAACAATCTTCTTCATTTTCTCTAACTTCAGAAGTTCCTCAAGGTTATATCCTTTCGTATTAAACTTTTTTAAACTAAAATTAATAATCTCTCAGAAATTCTCACATCTAATGTGGCAATGTTTGCTGATGAAAACACCATTTATTCTTGTCTTGACAAGTTATATGATGCTTTACGAAATACTTTACAAAATATTGCCGTAAGTTACGGTAACATAGAGTCTTTTTATCCGTTTTGAATAGATGATGTAAACTTAAAATGATATAATTTTTATAGATATTTTAATTCATTAAATCTCAATTTTTAATGTTAAAAAGTGAGTTTAGATTTTAAAAATTAATTTAAAATACTTTACTTAACCCAATAATAGTAATAAAAAAAATAAAATTAGAGTAAATCAAAATTTACCCTGGCGGTCTCAGAAGAGCACAGTGACTTTAGTTTGTCTGCAAATTTTTAAACTCACCAAATATCGTTATTTTATTTAATACTAAAACATTATTAACTTTAAAACAGTTCTAACTTATCACAATTTGTTGTGTGCAGATTTCAAATTTAAGTTGCAATATTTGAAACATTAGAAACAGTTTTAACAAAACAATTAAGTAAAAACAAAAAAATTAATAAATAATAAATTGGTCCAAATAAAATGTAACAACAATTTAGCAATGAACTTAAAACTAAACTATTTTTTTTAAAAAAAAGAAATTTTTATGTTCTAAAAAAAAGTTGTGAAAACTTACAAAATTTTTTTCTTTGATGCTCTTACACGATCTTCTAAACTTTTAATATTTGTGACACCATTGCAATTAACTCCTAAATTTAAAAAAATGCAATAAAAACTAGGAAAAAGAATAAAACAAGTAATAATTGAAACCAAATTTTACTATTGTTTATTAACAAATCATTTAAATGTTACAGTTTCAACCTGTTCCAATATTTGGTCAACAATAAAACACATTTATATACATATATATAATAATATATATTTATATAAGTGTGTTTATAAAAGTGTCAACTTAAAATGCTCTGTCTTACAGCTCTTGGTTGAGTAAAAAAACTTTCTTAACAAAAACATTTGTATAAGCAGAAAACTTTTTATTAAGCAGAAAATTTTTGCGTGACCAGCTTCACACCCCTTCTTCATCTAATAGAATTAAACATTATTTTACTTTATCTAGGATGATGACTGATGGAGCTTCATGACTTTATTTTTTTGCATTTGCCTCCCTGGTAGTCGCTGTGCAAACCATTTTATTATTCCTTAATGAGGCTATTGTCAATGAATGCATTGTCAAAGACCCATTTGTTATTGAGATTGATTAGTGAGAATGAAACAACTTAATAGCTTATTGCTTATAGTGCCAAGGTTTATACAGTTGCAATTAAAAGTTTGGGACACAATTTTCATTAAATTATTTATTTATTTCATTAAAATATATTAGTAATCATTATAATTGATAAAAGGAATAATTTTGCAGAGTGTTTTTACAATAAATCCAAAAATTTTAAATTGGATTGAGGTTAAGTAATTTACTTGGCCAGGGATTGATGATCTCAATCCCATTCACATGTAACAAATTGCTTACAACTTGAACCTGTGGCAGGGTGCTCCATTATATTGAAAATTGTGGGTATTTGTGATATAAATATTTTAAGTTTTTCTTGAAGTATTCCAAAATAAACAAAACTTTACCTTTGATTTTTTTATTTTGGTGTAGGTTTTGGTTTTAGAGGCATAAACTATAAACCACTATTGTGATTGGCTGTAATGGCACTTCAAATCTTGATTTTGGGACAATGTTTTACCGTTGAAAAGCAGTTATTGGTGTTGTATCTAGTGTTTCTTACCCGGGTATTACCTTACTTGTTGCCCTGATTATTTGCAAGTTTTTTCTGACCCATTACCTGCGTAATTTTTTTCAAATTACCCAGTTAATTGCAGGTAATTTTAAATTTTATAATTTTTTTTTAAATATTTTTGTAAATGAAATTTTTTGCTGTGATCAACTTGAATTAGTGGACTACCCTTAACAGAAAGAAAAAACTTTTATAGTATAAATTCATCTTTATGACAATGATATGTAAACGGAAAAATGTAATGCAAGAAAATGTAACTTTACTCAATAAACATAATTATATCATTAAAAGTTTAATTATGTCAGTTGTGTATTTTAAAAAATTTCATTATAATTAAATATAATTTGAAACGTCATTAAAAATCGTTGTAAGTTTTTATTTTTATGAAATAACTTTAAATTTAACAGTATTGTTATAAAAGATTATATAAATAAAGTTTAGAGATGTTGTTAAAAAAAATGTTAATTTTTTTTTGAGGGGGAATGAGGGGGAAACTACTTATGGTTGAATTTCTTAACAGTCAAAAAATATGTCAACATTTTGGCTTAAACAAAATCTTCCCATACTGCTTATAAACTGATTAATAATTTCTAATTGAGGTTCATTCTATGATCAATTCAAAAAATTGATGATAAAAAAAAACATTTGTTAAAAAGCAATTTCAAAACTAAAAAAATCATTTTTTCAAAAATTTGTTACCTGTTTTTGCATTTAATCTGGTGGTTTTTTGCATTTAATCAAAACATGAGGTTTTCCTTAATCATGACAAATAGTATTTGCTTTAATTGCTTCACCTAATTTAACTTCCTTTATACAATTTAAGCTTGTTTTCACTTTAATTTTTTAAAACTCTAAAATTAATAATGCACAAAGACAATGCAGAGAAATTAATGTTGAATTAAGAAACTTGATCATTAATCTTGTAATTAATGAATGGAAAAGTGTAAAAGAAGTATCGAAACTTGTGCATAGAAGTGAGACTTCAATACGATTTATGGTCCGTTAATATATATTAACAGGTAATATCAATCCTGGTATTAGAGGTAGTTTTCGACAGCCAGATTGTGCTGAGCAAATAAGAATAAAGCTATATGAGTTACTTGGAGATAACAAAAACTATAATATAAAGGTAGAATTGAGAATTGATGTCAATATCTCTTTATTATGGCAATGGTTAAAAAAATTGAATTGTACATATAAAATTTTAAGAAGCAATACTGCAGAGGTAAAAGAAGAAAGAAAAACATGTTTCATGGTATTTAATCTTGACATTACAGAAATATCATTTATATTGATGAAAGTCGATTCAATCTTCTTATGTTAAGAAACCATGAATACAGCCTCCAAAGAACAACCCCGAATCAGCGTGTATTGTCATCAAGAGCCCATAACATAACCATGATATTAGTTTAAAATTGTTTAAACATAGTCCACAGTTTAGCAATAATTGGCATAGGGGCGATAACAGATATCTTCTTAAATACACTTAAAAGTATTTTGGGGGAGGAAGGAGAATTTACTTTGGTGATGGACAATATCAACTTTAAACATTAATTATCAGATTTTTATGACAGCTATCCCTGTGGTATTAATTTTTTACTTTGATACTCACCTTTTCTTAACCCTTGTGAAGAGACCTTATCGAAAGTTAAAAATACTACAAATGAACAAATAGCTCCCATCAGAAATAACGATTTATTAAAACAAATGAGGAACGGTTGTAAGCATATTAATGATCTTTCAAACTCCTGAGCCATTGTGAATCTTTTCTTATGCAATGTATTAATGGAGATAACATTAACAGAGAATAAAAGTCGTAATTTTAAAAAAATTTGTTTCTTCAGACTTGTATGTTAAATATATATAAATATATAGATACATATATATACGTGTATATATGTATATATGTATATATGTATATATGTATATATATATATATATATATATATATATATATATATATATATATATACATATATATATATATATATATATATATATATATATATATATATATATACATATATATACGTGTATATATGTATATATGTATATATGTATATATGTATATATATATATATATATATATATATATATATATATATATATATATATACATATATATATATATATATATATATATATATATATATATATATATATATATATATATATATATATATATATATATATATATATATATATTAGGGTGACAATAAAAACAACCTTTTTTAAAAATATCTGCTCTCACCCTTTAAATATGTTCTATTTGATAAAATAATACTGGAATTAAAAATTTTTTGAAAAAAAAATTTTTTTAGACGTAGCTCAAGACCCTTAAACATTAGATGGGTCCCTAATATTATCAAAAAAAAATTTCTTAAAAAGTATTTTTTGGGTCTCAAAAGAAGCAAAATTAAAAAAAAATTCAATAATAATAATCATATTATTAAAAAATTATTACCTTTATTAACTAAAAATGGAAAAAAAGTATTTTTTTTTAAAAAAAATCCTAAATAATCATTTTTTATAAAATGATTTTTTTTTTTCAATTCTTATATAATTTCGCTTCTTTTGAGACCCAACATAATATACTTATAAAATTTTTTTTTTTAATCATATTAAGGATCCGTCTAATGTTTAAGGGGCTTGAGCTACCCCTAAAAATTTTTTTTTCTCTAAAATTTTTTAATTCCAGTATTATTTTATCAAATAGTACATAACTAGAGGGTAAGAGCAGACATTTTTATTTGAGGCCTTTATATATATACATACATACATATATATATATATATATATATATATATATATATATATATATATATATATATATATATATATATATACTTATATATATATATATATATATATATATATATATATATATATATATATATATATATATATATATATATATATATATATATATGTATATATGTATATATGTATATATGTATATATGTATATATTTATATATATATATATATTCATATATATATATATATATATATATATATATATATATATATATATATATATATATATATATATATATATATATATATATATATATATATACAGAGTACACTTTAAAAGAAAATTCAAACTTATGAGAGAAAGTTTGAAAATAAAAGTTATGATTATTAACTTATTTTATTCTGTTAAAAACTTGTTTGTTTTTTTTTCATCTGAAATGACTAAATTCACACCCTCATCTTTGTTGCTAATATTGAGAAAAAGTAATTGATAAAATTATCCAGGTAATACCTGGGCAATACCCAGGTAAATTTAAACTTTTTTCTGCTGGGTAATGGAAACACTAGTTGTATCATAGATAAAAGGCATGTTTTATCTGTGATACAACAAATTAAATACAAATAATTAATGTTCCATGAATGATTTGTATTAAATTACCTCAAAAATTCCCTGACTAATCCTTGTATTTTCCACAGAAAGAAATAGTATTAAATATATTTTTGAGAAAGGCAAGGGTTTTTTGCTGGAACCTGCCTTCTTAAATGAATTTGTTTGTACAAACATCTTGTAATTGTCAAAAGACATGGTGCAACACCAGAGGGGAACACCTCAAATGAACTTTGAAAAGCACCGGCAAACTGATATATTTTTGCAATTAATATGATTATCTGTCCTTTGATTAGCAGCTTTGATTGTCCAGTTCAATTTGCTTTTAAATCACCTAATTGATGTAACTGCTAATTTTTTTTTTTAATTGTTATATTCTAAAGTGCAGCAATAGCAATCTCAATTCTTGTTAACATAGCTATCTCACATTTTTCTGTTTGTTATTAGTTATTATTTGTTTGTTATTAGTTATTGTTTGTTTGTTACTATTTAATTACTAATTAGTTTTTCCCATAACATTTTAATTTTGCGCTAAAATAACAACAAAACTATGACTATTTCAAAATTTTGAATATAAAAAAAAAAAAACTTTG